CTTCTTCTTCTTCTTCTTCTTCTTCTTCTTCTTCTTCTTCTTCTTCTTCCCAATCTCCCACCATTGCTCCCCCTCCTTCTCCTCTTCCTTCAACTCCCTCTCCCCACCGCCTTCTGCTCCTTTTCCTCCCTCTCCTCCTATCTTTTGACATTCTCGGCCTCTTCCCTCTCTTCACACAATCTTTGCATTTCAACCATTAGGATGTGATTTAAAAAAGAAAGAAAGAAAGAAAGAAAGAGAGCTAGACACGGGGGCTGCGTTGTGGGGGTGTGGAATGCTGTTCTGTCCCTCCCGGCTATTTTAATTTCTTTGACTCTTCTCCAAGCGTCTTCTGGCCCATTATAAAACTGTATTATGCATCATTGTCCTTTTGCAAACTGTGATCTATCATCCCAGGCCTATGCCAATGGGGAAAATGGGAGGATTTGCTTTGCATAATGTCTGCCCCTGTCTCCCACGGGCACAAAATCATGTTCCCTCCGCAACATTATAGTCAAAAAAAGAAGGAGTTGTATTCCGTCACACCCCTCTCATTCAGAGGCTGCCAAGACGCTTTTGAAAAGAAAATTTCATCTCATCGCTTTCTATCTCCTTCCTTCCTTTTTCTGTTTTTAATTTATTTTTCTTCCTCTCCCCCCTCCAAACAGAATTGCCTTCTACAGATAGCCCTCCACTTCCGACCGCAATGGAGCCCAAACATTCTGTTGCTGAGCGAGACAGATAAGTGAGTTTTGCCCATTCTATATTCTTTTTCGCCACCATGGCTACGCGAATCACTGCAATTGTTTCATTAGTAACCTGGTTGTTAAGTGAATCTGGCTTCCCCCGTTGATTTCGCTTATCGGAAGGTCGCAAAAGTGGATCATGTAATCTCCCTGTCGCATGCAACCGTTATAAATACGAGCTGGTTGCCAACCACCTCAATTTTGATCCCCTTACTGTAGAGATGCTTCAATAGCCATGAAAAATTGTCATCCTAATTCCCCCTTTTTCAATGCCGTGGTAACTTCAGACAGTCACTAAGCCGACAAGTATCTTTCTTAGAAGCTCTTCCATTCTCCATCAAACTGGATCGAGAAGAATGTGGATATGACTTTCTTTGGAAACGCCGGTCACTTACTTGTGGTGAACGTGGTTTGGATGAAGTCGCTCTTTAATGTGTGGAGCAGGGCCTGCAGCTTTGCCTTGTATAGAGTGGAGGAACTCAAGTCTGCTAAGCTGTATGAAGTAGATTCGGGCCCCAGGACCACTTCCTGCCAGAGAAATAAAAGCAAAAGAGGAAAATGAATGAAGGTGGGCTCTGGTTGAATAATTCATGCAACTTTTAAGAAAACAGTGCCGAAGATGGATGAAATCGGGGCTCTAATTTTCTCCCAAAGTTTACTTCTATTGAGAGTTTTGCAGAGGCGACAATTCAGCACCAGAAAAATAAACACAGATGGCTGATGCTTCATTTAACATCTTTATAAACACAATACAATTTTACAAACCAGTTGTAGATTTCTCCAACATGGAGCAAACGCGGACAGAAGTAGACAACATGTTGCAAGTTCAGAGCTACAGGAGTAACTTCAGAGGGTGGGGGACACGACATCATCTAACTCGAATCTACAACACAGTCCTTTCAGCAGTTCCAAGAAAGCTCCTCACCCATTTGCACCACCCAGGTAACTCTGAGGACACAGATAAACCTCCAAGTGGCCTCAATGACTCTCTAAAAGAAGGCAAATGACCAGCCGTCTGCAAGGAATATCAATCCTTCTATTTCCCACCATCTGGTCAACTTCTTGGATGAGAAGCAAAATGTGTACAAAAGAAAAACAAGAAAGTCTAGCTGCCTCCCGAAAAAAACCACCTTTGGGACTCTGGAGTCAAGTTTAACTTCCACTGCTTCCATCCATGCTGTTGTTTTTTTTCTTCACAACATAATGGAAGCATCGTTGTCTTCCATGTTGTCCCTTTACTTCCCACTGGGAAATGGAGATGTCAGGAGAAAGTTCTTTAAATGCTACAGATAGAGCAGAGATGCTTCTGCATGTAAGAGAGGACCAATTCTGGACCTAAACCCTTCCTTACCTTGATTTTGCCATCAGCAGATTCGTAGATCAGAAGGTAGCCTGTGATAGACCCCTGGGGTGGCTTCCATGTGAGGACAGCTGTTTCAAACTGGACATCAGAAGCAGTCAGAGATCTGGGAGCATCAGGACCTAATATTGTGAGATGGGTTACAGGAATCAGATTGATGGAACTCCATCAGCCCAAATCTAGCTGGAAACAGATCACCAAGATGATGTCAAGAGACGACATGTCAACCACATCCTTATCAATCCCCAAGAATCAAGAATCACACATAGAACGACTCAAGTAGTTCCCTTTATTGTTCTTCACCTACAGACAGGGTCTTGCCAGACTAAAGCAACTATTTGCATAACTATAGATATACTCTTGCAACGGAGAAGCCATTGTAACCTCTTCCCGCCAACCAAACTTCCCAATCTTCGCTGCCTCTTTGCCCTCTGGAAAGCAGCTCCTCCTTTCTGGGAATCCAGACTACATTCTACCACATTATTTAAAGTTTTGCTAATGTGCCAACGTCTTGCTACTTTGAGACTCCCCCAAATGTACAAGACACTTCATCACACCTTGCAATGTTGATGCACTCTGAAATGAAATTTTGGATCTTTTTTTTGGTAAGCTTCCTAGGAAGCTTCTATTCAGAAGGTCTGAAGCTTCCTCAAAGGGTCTACATTCCATTCAAGACAAAGCAAGGCAACCTTTATTGTCGCTTTTTTTTTCCTGTGGACCCGCTGGCACACATTTAAAAAAAGGAGAAAATGAAATTCTGATGCCCGCACTCAAAAGAAAAATAAATACATAACCATACTCATATAGGCACACACGTATATGCATATACATGCTACACAAAGAGACACACACAAACAAACAAACACAAACAAACACATGAAGCTTCACTTGTGAGACCTTTCCACTTGTGCACGTGGAACTTCAGGCGCAACCCAACTTTAGGGATCTCAGCAAATGAGACAAAACCCAGCCAAGTTACCTGTAATGAATCTGGCCGAGAGAATCCTGCTTTTCTGAGGGCCTTTGATGGCTTGAATCTTGAGGGTGTATTCCGTAGCCGGTCGAAGGCCAACGAGATCATATTCCATGGTATTGCCAGATACCCTTTGTGTCACTTCTGTCTCTAAACAATCCAAGAAGGACAAACATATGATAAATGAGCAAAGCACGGATTGTTCTTCTTACTTTGCTTATTCTAAAAGACATTCATTAATTCAGTGCTTGTAGATTTTGAGAAATTTCATGCTGGAATGATCTCTGGCGATGCAGAATAGAGCAGTTGGGCTCTATACCTGCCTCTTGAGATGTAGTTCCTTTTTAGGTTTGATAGCGTGGTTTTCTGGCCTTGATATAAAAGCAAAGGTTCCCCTCGCACCTATGTGCTAGTTATTTCTGGCTCTAGGGGGTGGTGCTCATCTCTGTTACAAAGCTGAAGAGCCAGCGCTGACATCTCTGTGGTCACATGGCTGGCATGATTAAATGCTGAAGAAGCACGCAACGCTGTTACCTTCCCACCAAAATGTTTTTCTACTTGAATTTTTTTACGTGTTTTCAAACTGCTAGGTTGTGTTCTGACCCAGCCAAATTCCCCGAGAGCAAACCCAGATAAACTCAGTAACTCACACTTTCATGGCTTTAATCTACAAATAAACCTCTTTGTAGATAACAGATGGCTTGCAGCCAATTAGTCCAATTAGAAAAACCTTGGCAGAGGTCTTCAAATAAATCAGAGTCTGTCATCACAACGTTTTGCAAAGGCAAAAACCATTTGAAACCAGGCTTATATTCCCTAGAGAAAAGGACCATTATGTTGCATCCTTACTCCCGAGTCATCTGTGCAGCTTCAGCTGTTCTCTTCTACAAATCATCCTGTGCTCACGTGCACTTAGCACAGGCTCTTCTGGAACCTCCTCATCACTGCTGCCATCCCCCACCATCCATGAAGGCAGCAGTCTACCCCCTGATGGTCCCGGCCCTCCTCCGAGTCCTCGCTCTCCTCCACCGTCTGCACCTGCTGCCCGCTAACCACAACTGGTTGGCAGAAGCTGGGAAGCTCACTCCGTTACACGGCGCTAGGGATTCGAACCACCGAACAGCCGACCTTTCTGATCGACAAGCTCAGCGCCTTAGCCACTGAGCCACCACGTCCCTCGTTCCTGTCATAAAGTGATCCGATTGGATTTGATCCTCAATTTTCCCAGAGTGGCTGGCCAGATTGGAATAGCTTTACCCTTTCTTCAGAGTAATCAGAACTTACCTCCTTCTGCAAGATAGGATATCAAATATTTGTCCACAGCGGCAAGGGCTGGTTGCCAAACAGCTAAAGCTTTGGAGTCCGTGATGTTTACTACCCTCAGCCCAGACGGACTATCCAATTCTAGAAAGAGAGTGACACCATTACAATGAACAACAACTTCCTGGTTGAGCACATAGAACTTACGTTAAATAAATCCGAAAAGTGATTTTTTTTTTTTTTCAAGAGGCAATTGGACTTTCTGGGTTTTTCTATGAAGACGTTTCGCTTCTCACCCAAGAAGCTTCTTCAGCTCTACAATAATTAGGTTTCCCATAAAGAAGACAGAAGGACTCACCTAGTCCCTCCTAAATGTTGTCCTGGCTGCCCCAAGAATATGCGAAGTTCAAGAAAATGCAGTTTGCGGACATGTAGTCCAAATAAAAAGAATGAAAGGAATGGGACGAGGGACTTAAAAAAACATGTTAAAACAAAGCAGTCTGGCGTATATTCCCTCGTAAAAAGAGGCCCTTGGCTTAAAGTTCAGCCTGAACTCGTCCAGTCCATCGGTCTTTGCAGACAGCTCTTCTGTTTGTGTTTCCAACCCCAAGCCATTTCTTGGAGAAAACAAAACAGAGATTGGGGATGGCGTGGGAAGGGTTGAACAGAAGGCCAAAATTCAGTGGCGATTTTTCATCCTCACTCCCAGCTTCCTTGGTGCTCAATCAAAGGAGCTGTCATACTTTACATTAAAGCCGGCTGGAATCTTGTCTGGTTCGGGCTGAATCAGCTTTGCAAGAGGGTTGAGTTATTGGCCTCATTAACCAAGGGAACAGATCATTGCTTAAACTATTCCACATCTGCTTTGCCGTTCACCCTCCAAGAGTAACTAAACCCTCTGCAAATGGATAGGAATGAAAAGTGTTGAACGTTTAAAGAAGGCCGAGAAGAGCAACAAAGGTGATTAGGGGACTGGCGGCTAAAACATACGAAGAATGGATGAGGGAATTGGGTATGTTTAATTTAATGAAAAGGAGGACGCAAAGGGTCCCTCTTCCTCCTCCTCCTCCTCCTCTTTTTCTCCTCCTCTTCCTCTTCCTCTCCCTCTCCACAGACCCCATTCCCTTGTAACACTGAGGATGGACAAATGTACATACCTGTAACTAGAGATCCAGAAACAGGGTCACTTTCTTCAAAACCTTTGATAGCTACAACATTGACGATATATTTTATGCCAGGGATCAGATCGACTAGCTTGATTCTACTCCGGTTTCCATCCACGGTCAAAGATTTGAAGTGGTCTGGAATAGAGGACAAATAAAACTGTCAGTCTGGGCTTTCACAGAGGGTCTTTTTTAAAAAACAAACAAACAACCCCTATCCTTTCAGTTGCGTATAAAGTTACATCTTTAAAAAAAAACCAGAACAAAACAGAACTAACTAGCAATATCACTGGAAAATGCTCAAAGGCATTTTTCTCAATTTGCATATACTTTCCTCTTAAGGTCTGCTACCATGTTTCCCCCAAAACAAGACCTTGTCTTATATTTTTTTGGCCACCCAAAAAGCCACCAGGTCTTATTTTCGGGGGACGTCATTCACTGACTAACGTCACTTACATGTGTCAGCCCTGGTCTCTTTTTCGCTGTCAGAGACCTTCAAGAACTTCTTCTGCAACTGGCAAGGCTTTCCTGAAGGCCTCTGCAGATGATAACAGAGCTCTGGATCGATCCTGAGCTTTGTTCTCAGCTCCAGAGGCCTTCAGGAAAGCCTTTCCAGACTTGCTGGCTGGATAAGAAATGGGCTGGCAAGGCAGGTGTTGGGGTGTGCGAGGACTGGCTACAACTGTCCAAAGGTAAGTAGTAGGGCAGTTCCACCCCCCCACCCCCATCCCCACCCTAGCTTAATTTTTACCCGTCCACTCTGGAGTGGGCAGGATCTTAATTAGGGCCTATTTTTTTGGGGGGGGGGTAGGGCTTATATTGGGTGCACGTGTATAAATCTAGCTAGGACTTACTTTCAGGGTAGGTGGTATTTTCGGGGAAACAGGGTAGTTTTTAAGGGAGAATATTTGTAGCTCAGGGATGAAATTTGGGGTCTCTGGTCCTCTCTGGGCCTGGTTGTTTTCTTGCAGATGTTTCATTGCTTAAACTATTGAGTAATGCGATGGTGTTGAGATTGCGAAGCTGATATGCACGCCATTAAACATATTGTGCAAGATTGCGTTCTCTGATTCCTTAGAAGAGCTGAATTGGATATCCAGTTATGAAGCCACTGCTGCACCCCACATAAATTTTGTATATGCTTAGGTGGACTGTGTGCATATCTTTCCTTTCCTTTTGTTGTGTTCTCATCATATACTAAATAACAGATAATAATTACTTAAATTACATAACATCATCAGCACTACGATGATTAGTTCTGATGATGTTCCCTAATTTAGGATATGAAACATCTGCAAGAAAACAACCAAGCTCAGACAGCACCAAGATCTCTTAGTTTTCCTCCTCCTCCTCCTCCTCCTCCTCTCCACAGACCCCACCCTCTTCTAACACTGATGATGTTACCTAGTTGGATCATAAAATGTCTTCAAGAAACATCCAAGCTCAAAGAGCACCAAGGACTCCATGTCCCCCCACCTCCACAGACTCCACTCCCTACTAGCACTGATGACATTACCTAGTTGGGTCATGAAACATTTGCAAGAAAACAACCCAGTTCAGAGAGCACCAAGGACCCCTCATTGTGTTCTTTTTTTGACAATCAAGCACTCTTTCTCATGCACAGTCTCCCTTCAAGTCTTCACTTTTGCAAGCTGCTTCCTTTAATATGATACAATCTATGCTTGGTTTAATCAACATAATCCTCAAAGCAGAACATATGGTTAGCCAAGGTAGGCAGCCAGCCAGCCCTGTTTTTTTACCTCCAGGTTCTGGACCGTATGAAATTCGGAAACTGTCAACTCGCGTCAAGGGAGGCTTCCAACTAACCACAGTTGAAGTTTCAGTAATTTCTGAGAAAGAGATTTCCTTCGGGGATCCCACCGCTGTATATAGAAAGTGATGAAAAAAAAGAAAAGGAGTTAGCACACATTTCAAGTAGCTCGGTGAGCTGGGGAAAACGCACACAGAGTCTCGAGAGCAGGAGCTACAGTGAAGATTGTGTTAAACCCAGTGTTATGACTAGAACGAAATTAAGCTCCATAAAAGAAAAGTCTTTGTTTGCAAACAAGTTTCTCATCAGCCCAGCTTTTACTTATAATAGTAAACTTTTTGGCAGGGGAAAGTATTGAATAAACACTGCAGAAAAACAAATAATCTCTATTTTGGACTATGAGTAATTTCGATTCTGAGCATTATGTCATCCTCGAGGTATATACAGAGCTTAAGCATTGTAGCTGTACCTTTAAAGATTTTTAAAATATATTGCTTGAATATTCTTAGGTTTCTTCTACCCTCTTTTCTAATTTGTCTGCCTCCAAATGCAAATTAAGGTTTTCTTTCAATGTCCCCCAAAATGAAAGCTATTGAAGGGCAGAGAGAGAAAAAGAGAGACAGAGACAGAGAGAGACAGAGACAGATCAAACAAATGAATGAACGACCAAGATTTAAAATCCTTGATTTGGGAATATTTGCATTTCAAATGGTAGTATCTTAATTACTAAAAAAAAAACAACTAACCCAGGAAGATAAGGTTGAAACATCTACGTCCAATTTAACGACTGGTTAAACAGGCTGTTTTCTGTTAGCTTATTTGTTTATTGTTTATGATTCTAAAGGACAAGATGGATGTGCACAAAATCTCCACCGTTCCATATTCCATCTCTAAAATGACCATTATCCATCCCTACAGAAAATAAGCTTACCAAGTCCACCAATTTAAACAAGAAACACATTCTTTGGGTTGGTGGGGGAGGGAGGAATTTCCACAAAATCATTTCACGGGGTTTTCCTAAACCGGTGATCACTTCTATGTATGCTGCTTGGCCTAGACAAAGTTCGCGTTTGGTACCCCTTTTTTTTGTACGGTGAGAAAGGAAAGGAAACCGTAATAGATACCTTTGAAATATAGATGATTAAGAAGGGTTAGTAAACATAAAAGAGGGAGAGAGGAAGAAATAAAAGCACCCTAGAAAGAGAAAACTTACAAGAAAGCTTGGATTATTAGTCACTGTAAGCACAATTCGACAGAGTCGCCAACACACCAGTCTTGTTGAAAAGATTGGGAGGTAGGCCAGAACACTTTTGGCTACTTAAACCATAGCACACATTAAGTGAAAGTTAGAGCAGATGGATACGAAAAGTTGATTTTCTGGGTTGGAAAGAAGGATAATTTTCTCCCACAAAAAAAAGGGGGAGAGAATTTCAATAACTGAGAGTCATATGGGAAGTACCTAAATTTGAGAGTTAAAATAAATACAAATGAGTACATCGCAAATCTATGATTCTATGTTTATCCTTGTATACAAGGGGCCTTGTTGGAATGTGTTTGTATACAACAACAACAGTAGCATTCAGCCAGTAGATGGCGGTGTTTACAAGTTTGGATCTATGGTATATTCTCTATGCTCTTTTGTTCTCAGTAGAGTTTCTGGTTTCCTGTTGCAGTTAAACAATTGAGCAGTAAAGCACATGGTGACAGTATAGCAGTTGAGCAGTAAATCACATTTGTTTGCTCTGTGATGCTATATATAAATAGAATTCCTAACAGGCCTGCATTGAGAGCTTATCTGAGGATTGTGCTCAACATTATCACTTGGAAAAATACAGGTAGTTCTCAACTTGCAATAACAACCGAGCCCAAAATTTCTGTTGCTAAATGAGGCATTTGTTAAGTGAGTTTTGCCCCATTTACCATCTTTCTTGCCACAGTTGTTAAGCAAATCACCATGTTGCTAAAATAGTAACAGTTATTAAGTGAATCTGGCTTCTCATGGACTTTGCTTTATCAGAAGATCACAAAAGCTGTTCACATGATCCCCAGATACTGCAACTGTCATAAATATGAACCAGCTGCTGAGCATTCGAAGTTTGATCACATGACCAGATGGATGCTGCCGGAAAAACAAATGCTTGTAAATCACTTTTTTCAGTGTCGTTGCAACTTTGAATGATCACTGAACGAACTGTGGTAAATTGAGAACTACCTGTAAATGTGATAGACAAACACACTCACCAATACAAATACAAACACGTATATAAGCATGCATGTGGCCAAACGGTGTGGTTGTGATCCTCGACAAGCCAGAGATGGACCGAGGTACCTGTCATAGCAATTGCATTTACGGGCTGGGAACGCCGTCCGCTGATAACTCCGTAGAGCTCTACATAATATTCGGTCCCTTCTTTCAGCCCTTGGATGTCCTGAGTTCGTTGATGACCTGGTACGATTATCTCCAGAGGTTCTAAAAGCCTGTTGGAATCCCTGATTTTAAGGACAAAACTGTCAAAGGCTCCTTCATCCGCTGTCCAAGACAGGCGGAAACCGTGGGGGGTAGCGTCCGATACCAAAAGGTGATCTACTTCAGGTTCGGCTTCTGCAATGGCAAAGGAGGGTTTTAATGTCCTTTTTGGAAAAAAGAAAGAAAAATATCCAATAGAGAATCTAAGTCCGAGTTAGTTTAGGGAGGTGAGCATTCCGACTGCAAGTCCGGAGGGATAGAAGCAAACACCGTGCTATTTGGAAAGTGGGGAGGAAAAAGTCATCCAGTGATTAATAGAAAGATTCATTCCAAAACAAAGATGGAGGTTGCAGAGATGATCTTCATGGGATTCAAACTTGCACCGATCTGTAGAAGCCACGCTTTCCCCTACCATGCAAAATGAAACATGCTAGTAGTAGTAAGAGTGATATTCATTCATTCCCAAGGGGAGACATGATAGCAGTGTTCTGATATTTGAGGGGCTCCTAGGAAGACAAGAGGTTCAAACTATTTTCCGAAGCACCTCAAGACAGGACAACAGATGGAAACTAATCAAGGAGAGAAGCAACCTAGAACTAAGGAGTGAGGACAATCGACCAGTGGGATAACTTGCCTTCAGAGGTTGTGGGTGGAGGCTTTTAAGAAGAGACTGGACAGCCATTTGCCTGAAATGTTATAGGGTTTCCTGCTTGAGCAGGGTGTTGGACTACATGACCTCCAAGGTCCCTTCCAAACCCTTTTTTTCAGTGCCATTGTAACTTTCAATGGCCACTAAATGAATGGTTGTAAGTCAAGAACTACCCATACTAAACTTCTCCAAAACTGTGTGGAGAGTTTGATGCTTGTACTTAAGGAAGCAGTAAATTCTTATAGGTGTCCTCAGCTAGGTTGCACCTCTGATCCTATAAAGCTCCCTCAGGAGTGAGGGGAATGCTAGACAAACCCTTGATGAGTGATCATGTACAGGGATTAACTTTGAGTAAGATAGACAGAATACGCTGTCGGATTGAGGGTCAGTGATGGAGCATTTGAGGTCCCCCATGCAGTCTTTAAGTTGCTTGCTTTGTGGTAGGAGAACGGTTGAAGATCAGAAAAGTCAATGCTAAACTAGAAAGAGCTGAGATGGTGTGGATGGAGCTTTCCAAAAGTACATTCTTCTTTGAAACCAGGTCGAGGAAGAGCTAACGCCTTCTGCAACACACCGGTAACGTGTCCTTTTGATGATGATCAACTTTGGATGGTAGTGAGCTTGTCTTTATATTGGAAACAACGATGCTAAATGAAGATCACACTGTGATGGATCCCAAGGTTGTTTAAAAGATGGAGTATTGAATTTTGGAAGTGTGTCCCCAAGTTTGGCCAGCTATTTAATACAAGGGTTTAGAAGTCTAGGAGCTAACCTAAACATCAGCTTAATCGTTCTGGATTATACCATTTTCTTGACCTTCTTTTAAAGATGTTGCTTTTTCAAAGACAGAGGACTCATAAAATATGATATTACTCTTTGGCTAGGATGACCAAGATATCTGAATGGAACAATGGAACAACTTGCCTTCAGATGTTGCGAATGCCCCATCATTGGAGGCTTTCAACAAAAGACTGGACAAACGTTCATCTGAAATGGAATGGGGTCTCCTGCTCAAGCAAGGGGTTGAACTAGATGACCTCTAAGGTCCTTTCCAATTCTATTATTCTCTGTTCTATGAATGATTTGATGTGTCTCCACCTTCTGTTGTAACCTTTAAAATGTTGGTCCATTGAGAGACAGGAAGGAAATGGAGAAAGAGGTGATAAAGGAGATATATTAGTGAAAGGGTCAGTAAGTAAAGGAAGTCACGGTTCCATTGTGAATGGAGAAGACATGAAAGACCTTCCAGAAGAGGTGAGAAGGGACAAGCATTCCAGTTTCATGATTTAAAACAAAAATACCTGTTAAGGCAACAATGCTTAAGGGTCTTGTTTGGCGGCCATGGATCAAGCCGTAAAGAAGGACTTCATACCCAATGCCTGTTATGAGACCTCTAAGGGTTAATTGGCGCTGGCTTCCAGGAAGAAGGAATTCTTGGGGATCTAACAGTTTGCCAGAATCCACCACGATGACCAGAAAGCTTTCAAAGGCATCTTTTGATGCCATCCAAGATACCGTAAACCCATATGGATTAATCCTGGAAACTGTGAGGTTTTCCAGTGAGGGCAATGCTTCTGCGAAAGGGGAGAAGGGATAAGAAGGGCTGAATTAGACCGAGTTGTGGGCGCCATTTGAAACAAACCACAGGTCTCCCCACCACCAAAAGAAGGGGTCCATTACAAGTCACGATATGCAATGCCTATGCCGTTGGACTATGGGAAGGAAAGTCATTGGTTGTGCACGTCCCTGGTTATCTTTGCAGGTTGCCAACTGTGTTAAACCGGCATGCTACATCCTCCATTGAGCTCACTGACTATAATTAGAAGGAGCCTGGTGTAGCGGCTGTACACAGAGTTGGGTTTGTGTTATTCTTGGCTAGGTTTGGGGATCACGTTGTGTTAACCTAGACCTTCTGCCAGATGAGGATATCATGATTATGGAATAGATTGAGTAAATCCCAAAATGAGTATACTTGGGAGCTGGAGTAAGCATTATATTGCAAGGGCTATCATGAAATTCCAGGATCATTAATGGCTGTGATGGCTTGTTCTCTGAGTTTGTTGTTCAGCTTCTGAACATTTCATCACCGGGCTAGGTGACAGCCTCAGCAGGACTTTTGGTTGAAGCATTTTATTTCACCGAAGACCCACTGAGGACGTCACGCTGTTCAGAAGCTGAACAACAGGCTCAGAGAACGAGCCATCACCAACATCTACCACCCAAGCTACAAATGTTTTTCTATCACATCTAATAGGATCACTAGAGGGGTGTGGTGGGTCTAGAGGTGGAGCTCTCACTTCACAATCTGTGAGTTCGATCCTAGGTAGGGTCTGCTATTTCTCTCTCTGGGCACAGTGAGAATATATCTGCTGCAAAACTCTGCATTTGCAACAGGAAGGGCATCTGGCCAGTAAACACTCCGCTCCATTCAGTTGCCTCAACTCCACCCTGCAAGGGATTATGGGGTCATTAAACAATGAAAAAGAAAATTCTAATAGGATCATTCATCTCAGCAGAAGAGTCTTGTGGTCCTCAAATGTGCTGAGATTGTTAATGCCTAACGGGAAACAAATGGAAACAAAATCACTCATGATTTTTTGCAAGGATACTGGTCAGTATCACAGGAGGAGATCCTGTTGGCCCCCACCTGTGGTTGTGCCCTGAATGTTAACCTCATAATCCAAAGAATCTACCATGCCTGAGATGAAGGTGTCGTGAACCTCTTCTGAGATTGCCAACTTCAGAGGCTCCTGAGATTGGTGGAGACCTCTAACATTGACTGTCATATGTGCGAAAGCTTCCTCTCTTGTAGTCCAGGAGAGCTCGCTCAAACGAGCATTTGTGAGTGTGAATGTGCCCAACTGTAGCTTGAGTTCTGAAGAGAGAAGGAACATAAAGGTGGGAAAAAAAGAGACAACCATTATGGGTAGAGATCTGGCTGACAAGCTGATGAAGGAGATGTCCTACAGAACTACAACAAGCCGTTCTTGGATATTCTGTTGGGCTGTGATCATTGATCAGGTTAATGAAGGATTCAGCTGCTTACAAGAACCTTGTTCATGTCAAGAACAATCAACCATTGGAACAACTTGCCTTCAGAAGTTATGGATGCTCCAACACTGGAGTCTTTTTAAGAAGGGATTTGTCTGAAGTGGTCTAGGGTCTTCTGCTTGAGCAGAGAGTTGGACTTGAAGACCTCCAAGATCCCTTCTGATTCTGTTGTTCTGTTATTCTGGTTTCATGGCCCACTAATGACAAAGTGTAAATGTGATTTCATGGCGACCTTCAGAGGCTTGGTGGACTTATGGAGAGAGACCTTTTCCTTTTCAAAGTCAAGGAGAAGGAGACAAGGGGAAGAAGGGCTCAGTACTACAAAAAGATGGTTGTGACTGTTTTGAGTGAAGAGTGCTGGAGTGGCCTCAATTAAGGAGACATGCAAGACATTCAGGTTGTCAGAAAGTGACCAGCAAAAGCCAGCAGGTAGAGATTTCCTGCTCAAGATCCATGGAAGCACAAACCCAGCAAGATGGCTAAGTTCCTTAAAAGGGAAAGAACACAGACATGATCCCATCAGATGGTCATGCGATTTGAAGATTTCTCAAAATTCATACTCTTTACGGTTTTGTTCAAAGCATGCTTTTGCATTCGGATCAGGCATAATCCTTGGGCCGCCGAGATTCTGACATGCAATCAGGTTTAAGAAAATCTCCCTGAGATACCAACAACCGCAAAATTGTCTGGAATCCCTCCAGAATCTGTCTCACAATCCCACTGATGATTTACGAGGCAACAATGAAAACCTTAAAGACAAGAGAGATTGGGTGCTTTTGTTCTGGATACAGTTCTGATATCCAAATAGATGCAGAACATCTGGACAGAGAAGATGCTTGGAAAAATGCATGCATGTTTTTGCTGGATACATTGCAATATTAAAAATGCAGAGGTGTTCTACACTCTGTAGCAGGCCTTGGATTCGTACACAAGGTGCAAAGGACATCACATGCAAAGAACCATTTCCTAGGAAGTTAAGATCTTTGAAGAGTCAAGAGTCAGACTTCATAATGTGGGGAAACAAGACAAGCAACCAGAAAGAAAAAATCAAGGAAGGTACAGTAGATGTAGGACAATGGATGCTTGGAATCAGTCCCAAGCATGTTCCACAGAGATGCCAAGAAGAACAAACATTGATACATATATTGTCCTAGGCATTATGTTACACATAATCCTTCTAGATATATGTATCTAGAAAAAAAAAGAAGAAGCGTGAATGCATCCAATTGCCTTAATTGCGGGAACGCAAGCACTGTGATTCTATTATTTGGCCTGGTGAGCTCACTCAGGTCCCTACATTTTTAGATTCCTTGAGTCAAAAGGCACTAGATGAGATGGTCTCAGAAGATTGTATATAAAGGAAAAGGAAAAAATGGTGGTCATGAGACACCCTTAAAAGTTGGAATTGTCAAGGCCTGTTGAGTTTGCTCATCAACCTGGCCATGAGATTAAACATCATAATTACACCTGATCTTATATTAGTAATAGCAAGTCTTCACATGGCTTCGGGAAAAGTGCACAGCTGAGAAACCAGAAATTTGTACTGGTGTGATTATTGTCTACATTTTAAGTTTCTCTTAGCCATGGAAACTCCTCTGAGGAACTTTGGGTCAATCATCCTCTCGCTCCATCCCAACTCAAAAATGTCTTTACAGACAGTGGTGGGATTCCACATTTTTTTCCTACTGGTTCTATGAGAGGGGGCTTTGCGCATGCAGCACTCAAAAACCACCCTCTGTGTCCGCACTAGTGAGGTGAGCTGTTTTTTTTTAGCTCAGCTGAGGCACGGCAATCAAATCAGCCGAACTAAAAAACAAGGGAATATAGGAGAGGTAATAGCAGGGCCAGCCAGAGGTGGTATTTGCCAGTTCTCCGAACTACTCAAAATTTCCACTACCGGTACGCCAGCACCGGTCTGAACCAGCTGAATACCATCTCTGTTTATGGGGGAAAAACAAACAAACAGAGAAAAGCTTTGAGTTTCTGGGGGAAAGAACAGTATAAATTTAAATAATGAGAGTGACCAGGAGCAGAGATTCATTAAATGTCTCTTAAGTGTACTCATTGCGCTTATTACACATAGAAAAATATTTGGATAGGGGAAAAAAGTCATCTCCATCGTTCCACTAACACGTTAGATGTCCATGTGAATGGATGGATCTGCATTTTGCACGGAGGGTAATATTTTATCATGCAAGCCCTTCCACTTAGCTCAAAATGAGAAAGTCCAGCACCACGCTGACCACCTCTGTCAAACCCAACTATTAGTGGGTAACTTGCAGATACATCTAATTGCAAACTAAGAATAGAATTTCTGGAGGCGAACTGGCTTATTCTGTGACCATAAAAATCCACAGGCGCATCTTACGAATTTATGCTTTCTCATTTTTCCAAAGCTTAAGCTGGAACAAAAAAAAAAGTTACTTCCCCCCCCCCTCCAAGTCTACATGAAAAATCCACGCTAGGAACCCTGGGATCTAGACCAGAAAGCAAGGGGCTAGATCAAAGAGAAAATGGAATCGTGGAGTGGTGAGGCTGCAAAAGAAGGTTGAAAATTAAGAAACAGCTGGTTAATTTTGGGAGGACCATAATGTACCTGTTACGGCAGTTGTTCTTAATGCCTGGGTGCGGATGCCACGAGTGACTCCATAGAGGTAGATAATGAAACTGGTTTGAGGGGGCAGCCCTGAGATATGGGCAGTCCTTAAACTGCCTGAAATGTTGTATTCCATGGGTTCCAGCAACCTGTTGGAATCAATGATTTCAAGGGTAAAGAGTTCAAAGTTTCCTCGGGAGGTCGTCCACGAGAGGTTGAAGCTTTCCGGGGTCACGCCCCAAATGGTCAGGTTTCCAACTTCGGGTTTGGCCCCTGAGGAAAATAAACAACATTTGGGGTCATTTTTAAGGAGCACTTGATACCTGCCGAAGGTTTGCTTAATGGTGATGTCCCTGCTTTGCGTGGTGGAAGAGGTCTTTGAGCAAGCATCAAAGCCAAGAACCTCCCTCCAAAGCTGAGCATGCCAAGCTTAAATTGCATGTTAGGAAGGAAAAGAGCTGAAGTAGCCCATCTCCTTTCTTGGGGTTGGAAAGCAAGAAAAGTTGGATCGTTCCAAGTTTCAAGAAGCGGCGGGGTGGGATGTTGCAACTTGTGTTTTCAAGGGGCGTCCAAGAGAGAAATGCCAGCATAGATGGATGTTCATGCAGAATATCAATAGCAGTAGCACTTAGACTTACACAAGGAAGGAAGGAAGGAAGGAAGGAAGGAAGGAAGGAAGGAAGGAAGGAAGGAAGGAAGGAAGGAAGGAAGGAAGGAAGGAAGGAATAGCAATGGCTATAGCAATAGCACCTGGGGTTCTATACCACTTCACAGTGCTTTACAGACCTGTCTAAGCAGTTTAAGGAGATATTGCCCCCAACAATCTGGGTCCTCATTTTACCGACCTCCGAAGGACAGAAGGCTGAGTCAACCTTGAGCCTCATTAAGATCAAAACTGTGGGCTGAGTTGACCTGCAATACTACAGTTAATCACTGCGCCACCAGGGCTCAATGCAGGCTGAGACAAAGCAACAGTTTATAAGAGGAGAGGTTTTCGGTTTCCTCCAAGAAGACAGAAGGAAAATGTGCTTCCATCTTTGCAGCAGAAGCACAATTTCCTTCTTGTCTCCCAGAAAGTGGAAAGAAAGCAGACAACGAATGCAAAAATCACAGGAGGGAAGGACGGAACGAGGGTGGCTTCTTGACGTGTTTTGCAACTGACGTGGTTTTGTGCAGACTGTTCAATCTTTCTATCTCTATCCCAGGATTAGTGCTGCGTGTTAGATGAGGCAAGAGAGTCTTGGGAGCGAATAACGAAAGAAACAGGGTGGAAAGCGGAACCCCAAATCGATTAATTGCAGGACGAGCAGGGTTGAAGCTTTAAGCCCCGGCTAGCACCTTCAAAAGTTTAGGAAGCAAAAGGAAGTGATATTCAAGAACATCTCAATGGCAAACTTTTTTTTTTTTTTTACTTTTCTAATACCAATTCTGAAAGAATAAATCAGAGAAAGGCAGCATGACGCAGAGGGATTAAATTCAACGCCCCATTCAGCGACGAAGCTGAACGATCAAGCTGGCTTACCATCTTTCAGGCTATTGAAACTTTGCATTGCTCAAAGTTTGTAGGGAGGATAGATAGAACCAAGCAAAAAGCATATAGGTTGGTGTGGAAACTGGCTCTAAATAAAACTAATTGAACAAATGAAAAGGAGAATGTTTTTGACCTCAGTTTTTGTGGACTCAGGAGGAGAACTTTCAGGTTAGAAGACGTTATTTTTCCTCCACAGAAAATTCAAATGAAAATAATTTAGCATAGAAAAAGTGTTTCCCTTTTATTTCTTTTCCATTTCCTCCTCTTCCAGGGAGCAAATTGTACATGAGTTAATATCTTTTCTCTGCCCTTGCCCCACCCATCAAGCTTTGGCTAGATGCAAAAAAAAAAAAAAAAATTGCCATGAAATGCAACCTTCAAATGTTGAGAAATTTGCTGGTTATTTAAAGTAGGGGGCCAGAGGAAATTCTGGTGCAGGATTGAACATGGATGTGAGTTTTTCTTGTGAGGGGAAAAAGCGACGAAGAAAGCAAGGCGAGAACGTGAACCAGGAGAAGAAAAGCGGAAAGAATACCTGTGGTAGATTCAACAAAGATGGGTTTTGTTTGGTAGCCCTGAGTTATTCCATAGATGGTGATTGTGTAAAGAGTATTCGGCAAGAGTCCGGAGAGATTTATCGACCGTTGTGTCCCCGGAAGGGTGAGAGTTTGTGTATCTTCCGGTTGGTTGGACTCCCGCACCTGTATGACAAAAGTCTCATAGGCACCATCAGCTGCTGTCCAGGTGAGGTAGAATCCATCCCAGTAGACTTTTGCAACTGATAAATTGCCCAGCTCAGGTTCTTCTTCTAAAGAAGGACAAAGAGGTCAGCTGGATGGTCAACTCTACGGATCCAAAGTAACCAAGGATTGACCCTTTCGGCTTGTCACTGGTTACCTATTTATAAACCTGTCTCTCTCAAGAAGCAAAAGCCCGAGTCCAATAGAGCACCCGGTATCAGGTTTCTTGGCAACGTGGACGAGAAGGTGAATATACACCTGATATTAAGTTACGGCATCAGTCAAGCAATTGGGAGACCGGGCTTCTGCCAAAGTTCATTTTTACAAGCACTTCATGAGATCTTTTGGGGTTTCACTTCTGCTTTGGTTTCCTTGCTGCTTTGGGGCAGCTGTTTAACTATGCCAGGCTGGCTCGTTCCAAAGGGTTATGGAATTGTAATAATGAGGCTACGCCAAGGAGGGATGGACAAAGCTCTACTATTCATGTTACCCTTGGGATGTTTCTCGGAAGTATGACCAACATTTTTTTCCCCGTTCCCCATCTGCTTAATTGATGACTGCGCAGATCTAGCCAGAAAATGGTTTTATTTTAAGTCTAAGGAAGGAATGAGCTCTTCCCGCCTTATGTAGAGAAGCCAGATAGATGAGCAAAGACGTCTTGGTTTAATCCAGGACAGGATCTGGACTGAGCAGTAGGTTACTCCAGGACACCCAGGATAGGCTGTCTGGGATAGAGGTAGGAGGAGGAGGAGGAAGGGGGAGGGGAAGAAGAAGAAAGAGGGAAGAGGGAGGGGGAGGAGGAAGAAGAGGGAGGAGGAAGAGAAAGAGGAGGAAGGGAAAGAGGAAGGGGAAGAAGAGGAAGAAGAAAAGGAAAGAAGGAAGAGGGAAGAGGGAAAGGGAGGAGGAAGAAGAGGGAGGAGGAAGAGAAAGAGGAGGAGGAGGAGGAGGAGGAGGAGGAGGAAGAGGAGGAGGAGAAGAAGAAGAAGAAGAAGAAGAAGAGGAAGAAGAAGAAGAAGAAGAAGAAGAAGAAGAAGAAGAAGAAGAAGA